TGAACATGAGCAGGCAGTGTGCCCAGGTGTTCTAGAACAAAATACTGCTCTATTTTGTTTTATTTCAATTATTAAACTGTTTTTATCTCAACCCGGGTGTTTTCCTACTTGTGCCCTCCCGATTCTCTCCCCCATCCCACCGGAGGGGGGGGTGAGCGAGCGGCTGCGTGGGGTTAAACCACGACACCTCCTCATAGGACACCATCATTCAAGCCGTGCACTAGGACGAGCAACGATGGGCTACAGAGCATCTGGATATCACTGGTAACAGAGCTGCACCACAAGCCTCTGCTGAACAGTCTGTTTTAGCATGACTCCTCATGCTGTGCAGCTCTGGGAATGCTGCTTCTATCAGCACCTCATCTCAGCAGAGACACTGAGTCTGTACTTCGCATGGAGTGCTCAACCCCTTTTACCTTTTCACGCTGGATGTCATTCTTGATCTGGGATATCTTGATCTTCATGGCATCCAGTTCCTCATCAGGTACCAGTGGGATATTGGGCACTGCCTCAGACTCATCCACCATTTGGAAACTAAGGTCAGTGAGTGGGATGTACCATTTGCAGTCATATTGCTGGCTTTTTCTGAAAGACAGAAGGTCCAAACCTTTTACTATTACCGGTGTTTGGCAACACTCACTCTCCCTTCCCACAAGTCCTTCCCGACCATAGTGCATAAGATACAGAAAAGAGCACAACTTCACTGTGACTCCCATGTCTGGAAAAAGTCTGGTAAAGGGCTGCTTTCCAGCAAGAAAGCCTAGAAGGGCCAATAGCCAGTACAGCACATAACAAGGCAACTTACTTTGTTATCTAGTTCTTTTCATCCTAAGAAACCACAATGACCTTTTGCAAACCCTTTCAGTCCTGTGTGCTCTCCCTTTGAAGCCTCCGTAGAGTCAAAGTTCAAAAGCCATGCCATGCCTCTAACCTGGCTGCTATCTATGATCTAAACCCAGGTCTCTCCTGCCTGAGCTAGGAGGGCCAACTGGGGCAGGTGAGCCAATACGTATAAACCTCTGTGTAATCCAACCAGAAGAGAGAAACTACAGCTCGTAACTGCCATTCTCCAGTGATTTCACCAGGATCACCAGTTCACTTTTTTAATGTTTCATGTGATTTATTCCCTCTCCACCTCTACTGTCAGGAACATCCACTCTTGGGAATGTCCCATTCTTTTGAAGGTTTATTCCTCACAAGCATGTGCTTCAAAAGGGGCAGGGACAGCTTTTTGCTTGAGGAGGGCAAGAAGATGAGAGAGGTCTCCCCGAGCAGAACATTCATCAAATGAGGCAGGTTCCTTCCCCCTCATTTGTGAAAAATGTCAACAAAACTGTTTGTATAGCTGCACTTTGGGGCTGACACATAGTCTGTTTATTGTAGCTTTTCCATTTTTCTGCAGAACTGTTAGCTGGCTGTAGCTGCAAGGCCAAAATTAATAACCGTAGTAACAAAAGAAAGTGAAGAATGTCACCTATTAAAAGAAAGGGGAAGTAGAAAAATGAATGGCATTTGTCCAGAATACCAGCAGCTACAGCACATCCTATTTTCCTAGGAAGTCTCGGGGCAGGGGCGGGAGGAATTAACCTTTCCTGAGGGATCAGGACTTGGCTAAGGTCCTGATCATTCTGATCATGCTGATCATTCTTTGTCTAACTACATCTTGTGGATTATGGTTACCCAGGTCTGGGGTATTCATATTCAACTAAAATTGCTGGCTAAACCCAGGATTCTGCTGAAGCTGAGGTGCAAAGCACATAGTCCAGAAGGAAAACCTCACCCTCCAATCTGCTTCTTGAGTTTGGCACACAGGAACAGATCAGTAAAAAGAAAGACATGACGTAGCTTGCGAGCCCCCTCAACCAGCTCCACCATGAAACTGTCCTTCAGCAGCTGCCGGTGCTGGTGAAAAAACAGAAAAAATCTTTTCGTTAGTGCAATATGAGGCCCAGATTTGGCACTGGGGCAACACATTCCTTAGACATGACTCCTACCAGAGCCAATTCAGTAAATCGGTCTAATTCAGAAAAAAGAAAAAAGGCTATTAAATGTTCCTTGCTGTAAGCTCTGCTCCCTGCTGCTGCCCTCTCTCCCAGGGGCAGAAATGGCCGTGCACGTCCTTTATTATCTGGTTCTGGGTCAGACTTCAGGCTTCTCTCCATCACTTATTCCTGAGCCCAAGTGTAATTTATTGTGAGTCATTGCCCAGCTTCTGCGAACCCAAGGGCCAGAATCACTGACAGCACATCATCCCCTCACAAACCAGCAGAGAGCAGCAAACACCACTTTTCTTAGGAGTCACTTACCCAGCCATTCAGCTTAAGGTATCCCACCAGGGAGAAAAAGGAGCTAACACCTCCACTCCCCACTCACAACAGTAGTTTGTCAACATTAACAGCTGAATGCCATTGCTGCTTCTTTATTACAAGTGCTGTTAAGGGATAATTCCTGAACAAAACATGTATCTAGCAAACTTCTCAGTAGTCCCTTATCAGCCTGTGTTTAAATAGGACCGTCTCAATATGCCCCCACCCCATGCCTATTTAAATCTCTTTTATATATCATATAAACATTCCCCAAACCTAGAAGATGCAAAGAAGCTGCACAACCCTGATGCCTTTATTCCTGTTTCTAGTTCCAGTGAGCTTTACAACCTCCTAAATAAGAGGCACACATTGGTAGGCAGAAGCATCACTTTCCTAATTCCCTTATGGGGACTCCATAGTTGAAAGAAGACAAAAAGGCTGGAGCACTGGCACTGAGACAGATGGCTGTGTGCTGTTACCAGTGACCAAGCCAAGAATTTCAAGCCCTGCCCTACGCTCAGGCCTTCTGCTCTGATGTCAGGATCAATAGGACTCTGAGTGCACATCTGGAATAGATATCTCCCACTGATTTTTGAACAGAAGTCAGGGGTATTCAACTTTGGGCAAATTTTATTCCCACCAATATGTATAACTGTCAGTGTTGCCTTGCTTCACAGCCAGAACAAGCAGGAACCATCAGCTTCTCCACACAGGTACACTAAGGTACTTTTTCCTGACCCGTACTATTTCCTTGCTATTCCAGCTAAGAGGATGCTCCCCTGACACCAATGAGCGACACATTACACATACCATATATGCCTAGACAGCACCATGACTGGGGATAGGAGATATCTGCTAACACTGTCCAGCGCTAACCAACACCTCCCCCTGCTGTCTCACTGTCAGCCTTCTCCAGGCCCATGCTCGGGACTTGTCAGTACAATTCACTCCTGATCTGCAGTATCTCTGTGATCCCCATGCTGGGAAACGCGTACACAAAAATTGTCCATTTCCAAGAGGCAGCTGTGCTCAGCTATGCAGCCGTATGCAACAGGAAAGCAGTTAACCTGAGCAAGGTCAGGACATCTAAACCAGAATTGATGCCTCAGTTTCTCAGGTTACTCCCCACGGGTTTTGTTTGCTGCGTGACTTAACAAGCCCTGAACACATTTACTGCAGATGGTGTGGGAGTGCAAACCCCCACACTGCCTCTCCTTCCGCCTACCATTCTTCCCATCTTGGCTCTCCAAAATGAAAACAAACCACATCAGTCCTGAGCCCAGTAGGCATCATGGGAAGGAACACAAGGCAGAGAAATGCCCTTGCAGACATAATTCTTATTTCCACACATTGTGCTACAGCACCCTAAACTTCCTGACATGGACTAAGAGTCTGCATTTTCCTGTCTGCAGCTGCATTAGCACCACAGCTAGCTGTTAAATCATACATAGCAGTGTCAGCATCTCATCTTGGTGCTGCCTTCCATTACACAAAGGTCCTGAAAATCTGTGAGCAGCAGCAAAACCTGCATCTTTCCCATAGTGCCAGGAAGCAAGGCTGCTCCCTAGCAGACTGTTGCACCGTCTCTGGGCAGGAGTGCGTGGAGATCTGGTATCCAGCAGTGATTCAGGCTCAGAAAGGCCTGTACATATGTTAATGTTTATTTTTAGGTGGGCGTGATCCTCCTGGCTTCTCAGTGGTTTTGGAGAGAATGCCTGCCTGCATTAATGTCTCTGATGATGATGCGCACTTGTGCATGCCTCCCCCTCCTGCCTGGCGAACAAACCCCAGGTAGGAAACTAGAAACATTGAGCTTTAAAAATAAATAAATAAAAAGGAGGAGGTATGTTGTCAGTAGCAAAAACACTACACAGCTGCAAAGAATTTCATTTGGGAGCAATAATGAAGCAGGGAAAGATATTTTCTGAGCAAGCCAAAACCCTGATCTCAGCTTTCTAGATCTGATGCATATCAATTATGCTGCAAATCAGCTCAGCTCCTCTGGGGCAATGAGAATAGCTGCTTGTTGCCAGCTCAACCTCTGCTCATTGTTTGTAGGTGTAAAGATGTTCTCACAGCTCACTCATCTCTGCTACCCAGCCGGATGTGGCATGGTCCCTTCCCTACCTGGCAGGGACATGGCATGGTCCTGACGTGGCCTTCTGTCCCTCTCTGCCAGGCACTGCCAGTGTGTGAGATAGCCAAGACGCCAGCTCAGCACCCTGCCAAGAATTCCTAGCTGAAAAATACCCCAGGCTAGTCCAGAGCACAGACTCAGCACCCCATCCTGGGAAGATGTCTCTGGAGGCAGAGACAGGCCAACAACATGGCCAGCAATGTGTTTCTTCATAGCAAGGGAGGGCACAGGCCACTGAGAGCTGTCGGAGGACTGTGAAGGACTACTGCTCAGCCCTAAATCAGCCCTCTGGTTTTGGCAGTATTTCAGCACCATCATCTAGACCAGAGCATTTTGAAGACAAGCATGTCCTCAAGTGAAGGGGAAGCCCATACAGAGGCAGCAGTGACTAGAAGCCTTTGTGTCAGGCCTCCACGAAGTAAGAAAGGAAGAGCCCATCAGTATTCCCTGCAGCAAGGCTACAGACCTCCGCACATGGCCTGCCTGGTCCAACCAGGCCACCCCTTCTCCTGTCTTCTGAAGTTGCACCTAACCTGCTGCTGCACAGTCCTTGGCTTGTCACCGTCCAAGCAGACTTCCTCCAAGCAGCCATGTTCTCTGTCCCACACGTCCCCAAAACCCAAGCAGAAAGCTCAGCCATATGATGCCAAAACAGGGGTGTGATTCAACAGCCTTCATACTTCCCATCTGGGACTAAGGTACCAGTCATTTACACTGAGTTTATTTTGGCTAGCACTCCTGGGGACAAAATACCTGGACTGACATGAGACACAGTGCTACCATGAGGCAGCAAAAAGCCTTTGGCAGCATGATGTCCCACAAAGAGAGCTGGGTGGGAGGAAGACAAAGCTGTATTTCCTAAGCTTGACTGGAACAGAAGTAAAGAGGTGAAAGGGATGAATTCCAGTCAGCCACTCAGACGAAAACACTCTCTCCAGACCTTTCATTCTTCATATCTTCTCGCTCATGAGCTAGGTGGGAAGGTCTCCCTTCAGCAAGCAGCAGGGGTAAACTGCCACAAAAGCAACGAAGTATCTGGGGAGGAGAGGACAGGAGAAAACATTTGTGGATCAAGTCAGGAAATCTCTCCTCACAGGGGTGTGGAGCTTGATATTAGATCTAACTACCAGCTTCCCTCGGGAAAACAGGACTTGTATTAGGGTTGGGCACAACAGGCATGCCCCAGGCTGCTCAGCATCAGTGGAGCAGAGGAGGAGCACTTCCAGCAAAGGGTCACATCCCTGGTTGCAAATGATTCATCTTGCTGGGAGGGTTCAGCAGGTCAAAGGGAAACAATAAAATGATTTCCCAACTGGCTTACCAGATCCCTGCCAAACCCCACAGTGAAGGAGCGCAGCGCACCTTCCCAGACCTCCCGACATGAGTCAGGCCATCCTACCCCACCCTGGGGGAGCCAGTAACCCCCTCAGACAGGACTCCTGCCGGTCGGACACCTGTGCCACCTCAGCTCCACAGGCCTTCTCTAGCAGTTTGGGAACCAAAGCCCACTTTGGTCAACTCCTCCCCTCCCAGGGCCAGCAACAGCTATTCTTTGGTGGCCTCCTGTTAAACAGGGTCTCCTGAAACATGAGGTCTTTTGGTTGGGTGGTCCTGCTGTACATGACATACACTAGCCTGTATGTGGGAAACCATCTCTCTACCTTGTTTCCAAAGTTACTCTGTTTGCTAAGGTTACCAAAGGTGCTAAAGGTTTCCTAAAATACCCTGAAATGACATACAGAGTACAGAAACACCAAATAAACATCCAAGAAAACATAAGCTTAGGATCAGAGTGGCAGTACAGTGGCAGAGTGACCCCCTCTCTTTCACAGACAGCCCCACAGACCCAAGACTGTCAGGTGTACAGCACAGGAGCTCAGGTCAGCTATAGAAAGGTGTTCCAGGAGGCCTGGGGGAAAACTTCCTATTTTGTATCATAACAGAGTGAATTAGGATCATCTTTAATGTCTCAAACAGGGCCTGGGCTGACTGTTACCTTCAGTGGCTCTTGCAAAGCTGCTGTACTGGTGCAGTATAAGTCCCAAGTCTCCTTTCTAGGCCCTGCTTTCCTTTGCATATTTTTACCTGCTTCTTCTCCCACCCACACCAGTGCTCTGGACAAAAGAGCTCTCCCTGTACATCTTTCAGTGCTTGGAAATCCTCTTTGGATTGTCTATTGCTGTCCTCCTCCTCTTACCTCTGTCAGTGAGCATCTCCCCCTCCTCTGCTACCAATCTTACGACTACTTGTATGCTCATCTATTCATCCTACAGTGTTTTTGTGCTGTTTGCGTATGATAAATAAATCCTGCTGCTGTCATGTACTGTTTAACTCCAGGAAGTGTGTTAGAACACCAGCTTGTCTGAGACACATTACAAAAAGTGGAATTTAAAAATCTATTCATCCAGAACCACAGCTGTACAAAAGGCCGTCTCCTGAC